GAGAGAGAGAGAGATTGTTCCTTGGAACGGAATAGAGCAGCCAATTGTCAATTTTCTTCAAACAGACTTTCTTTTTATAATTTATAATATCAATTTTTCTGTAACGAAGGATATCGAGAAAAAGAGAAGAAACGAATCATCGAGTGGGTAAACGAATCGGAAAAATAAGTAAATACGAGGAACGATGGATGGAGAAATAAATGAATGTGATTTATGAAGGGAGGGAGGGGGGGATATAAATGGAGATATCGATCGGATTATTTGCTCGATTAACCGTAACTTATAATTTCATCGTAGCAAGTAAAATTCGACCAAATTACGTAGATATAATTTTAACGCCATATGGAGCAAAGTGTTCCGCAGATATGCTGGCTTTTGCGATTACGTTGCGGTTAATCATAAATACGGTTGCTTCGCTATTCTACATTGGCCGGAATACATAAACAATTTTGTTTGCATGGTTGCTTTCATTCGTTATGATATTAATTTCCGATGACGCGAAATATCGCTATAATAATTACGTGGAACGGAGTTCAAATAGGGAGGGTGTTAACAATCGTTGCGTTTCGTTTGCGCGTACAGATTGAAAGGATATGAAATTATCCGGATATTATATCTTTGTTTGTTAAGATGTATACGTTTATTAGGCCTGGTTCGGAACCTCGATTCGATTATCTGTTTGCTTTCATCGTTTCATCGTTATAATATTGTGCGAAGATATCTTCCTCGACAATAATAAATTCGTAATATCCGACCAATAATACTCGAAATGATATATCGTATCGTCTCGTATCGTAGAAGAGAAATCTTTATTACAAAATTTAGAATTGAAATTTTTTTAAAAAAACCTTATATGCATTTTTTCTAAAAAAAAAAAAAAAGAAAAGAAAGAAAAAAGAAGAAAAAAATGTTTCGACAGATGTCGATATTTTTCAATACAGTGATGATAAAAGGTGTGTTACGGGTACGTCACGCGGAAAGATTTATTTCGTCACCGATTTTTCCCCATTTGTCTCGAAACGATCATCTCACAATTTGCCATTTCCAGGCGCTGCGAAACAGAGCGAGGAAAGCGAGGGCCAATAGGAAACCTAATTTGGGCGACATTAAACCGGGCAGCATAATAGAGAACATAGCGCACACTCGCAGGTGAGCCGATATTTTGTACACTTTGTTAAGATTCTTTAAGAATATACCAAGAATTTTCTAAGAATTTCATTGATGCCAAGGAAGAAAGTGGATTAGAAATTAGCTAGAAACGAAACGTAGCTATTCTATAATGCGAGATGAATTTTCACGACATTCTATTGATGTAATGGTAGAAAAAGAAATAAAAAGTAATTAATTTTTTGAAATTTTTCGAATTCGAAGAGAATCGAGGAATCGAAGCTGATACTTCGTTGATATAATGCATATTTGTATTTATCACTTGCATGTGTCACTCTGTTGCATGTTGTATGGAGATAAGCATCGTGGTTGTTAGTAGCGTGATTCCGTAATATAATTCATACCTCCACTAACTCAAACAAACACTCCCTTATCAATCGAAAGATGCGTAATGAACACAAACGACCTTTGTCCAATTTTCAATCGAATTCCCAGATAAAGATCGCAAAGAATTTGCACGACGAGATATCATTATTATTATTATTATTATTAAAGAAAATTCATCGTGCAAGGATCTTAAAGATGATTAAAATAAATTATAAAAAAGTAAATTTATATATATATGTCTTATATTTCTTCTTTCAAAAAGGGAAAAAATCGACAAAGGCCGTATTTCCAATTCGTTAAATGTCTCCTTCGTGGAAAGAAATTTTGCCCGTAAACGAGAATTTCCCGAGTTGAAAGGACTCGGGAAAGGGAAGGGAACATCGATCGAATATCTCTTTATTATGCTCGACGACGAAACGTCCATCGTCAACATCTCGATAGAGAGATGTACACAGTTCAGTTTCTCTGATGAGGCACCACGGCTCATCGCGATGAATCGATATTCAATCTCTCCACGCGATTTCTCGCGTCTCGGAGATCAAAGGGAGAGCAGGCTGTTTAAACATAGGATGAATATAAATTCACGGGGAAGGGGAGGAGGATGCGATCTGCTGGGGCGCGGACAAAGACGAACCGTCCTTCATTCCGAATGTGTCGCGTGCTCCGTCGACCGAGTCATTTTTTTCAATTTTCTCGCTCGCGCGCCCCTTGCATTCCAACGAGACGATTTCACAAAGAGATTGACGCCCCCCCTCTAAGAATACGCCGCTGGAAGAGGAGAGTGGAAGAGCGAGAAAGGAATACGGAAAAATAGGAAGAGGGAGGAGAGAGAACGTGAGAAGATATTCAAGCCTGGAGCATCTCTTCCCTATATATATATATATATATATAATATCTTCATTTCTACTTGTCTTGAATAGCCAACAACTTTTCTTCGATTTAATTGCCGGCTTTTGTCCCCTTCCCTCGAGCATCCGTTCATCTACGAGAAGAATGAACCGTGCAGAAGGAAGCCCCCGGATTGAAAGGCGCGTACTCTCCTGTTGTTTGTCGTGGTTTCAAGATGATTTAATACCACTGTTTTTTCTCTCCGGACGAGGAGAAGACGTCTCTCGGAAGAGCTCGAGATTCATCTTGACGGCGAAAGATGGCGACTCGACCTCTCCTCGCTTCCTCGACCTTTCACACCTTTCACGCTTCTTCACGAGGATATTATCATTATTATTATTGTGGATGCACGACGTCGATTGCTCGCGTCGACGAGATGTCGGCGATGAAAGGATTTTGAAGTGGATCGTTTCGTTTCGAATCGATCGGGAAGGAGATATTCGAGCGTTGTACGCGGCGAAGGGGTAGGGGTGCGTGCGTACGTTTGCGCGCGCGTGCGTGTACGTAGAAATGCAATTAGGGGTAATTTGTATAGTATTAACTGTGCCCTTTCGCTCGCCCTGATTATTATTTATAGGTCACTTCCTACGTTTACGTGTACCAGCATTATCGATAAATTGGACTTAGATGTTTATAGGGACGGTCACATTTCGGCTACACGCTCCTCTTTTCCCTTGGGTCCCGTGTATTTAACGTAATCTCGCCCAAAATTTCCGTCAAAACCGCAAACCTCTCCTCCTCCTCCCTTTATTCGCGTGGATTGCTGCATTGATTTGATATCATCTGTGTTGTTCCTTCGAACGATAGAATATGAATGTAAGAAGTGGGATTTTTTGAAACGCGATTTGAAACGCTTCGCTTTTCTTTCTGGGAAGATTGAATTAATCGAAAGTTGTAAACGTGCAATCGTTTTTAAAACGATTATCTCGAAATTTAGAACGAAAGAAGAATTTTATCGTCTCTCACATCGAATTCATTTTTATACGTAGAATCTTCCTGACCTGACCTGACCTGACCCGACTCGAGATAACTTGTATGACGCTGATACTGCAATCTACGCACATTCGATCGCATCGCTTTGTCTCTATTTTAAGATCTCTGTGCTAAAACGATCGACTCCACTGTATTTAAGATTAATTAGAGGATTAATTAGACGGAGACTTTTCGATTCTTTTAATGACGAAATTTCAGAATTAATTATTTTCGAGAGATCGGCAAGCGTCGCCAATCGGTCGCCAAAAGCGAAAGTAAATGACCGAGTAAGTGACGCGAAGTTTGAGGAACTATCGTTTAGATTGAACTCTGAATACTAAGTCATTTGCCGATTGCCAACCTGTAACGTAATCGGATCCCCGTTAATCCGATTATTCGGAATAGACCGGTTTCCAATGTCCACATTATTCACGCACAAAATTACTCAATCCTGCTCTTCGACCATGAACTTAATACCAATAATTAAAAATTCTCAATAATCAATTTTTAAAATTATAATCGAAGCGATCGAACAAAAATGTTTCTCGGTCGAAATCGATTATTATCTCTCGATGATTACATCAACTGTTCGAATCGATCGATCGAAACTGGACATTTCGTTTGAAATGTCAAAAGTTGGATTATTCGGAACAATAATACGATCACTCGTAAATGTTCAAATTACTCATGCGCGAATAATCTCGAAGGAAAAACCGATAAATCTAAAAATCCACCCTTTTATTATTATTACCACAAGATGATAAAAATGATAAAAATATCCTATTCAAAAATAAGTCTAAATTGCCCTTTTTCGATATAATTGCCCTCCATTCCATCGATAGAATGCGAGCCAATTGAAATATCAAATGTTCCAGGAACGCCTCTTTTCTATCTTCTTCTCTCTCTCTCCCCCCCCCTCCCCCCCTCGCTTCTTCTCGGAGAAGAATTACTTTCATTTTAGCGAGGGCAGCCGAGGATCACTCTGAATCGCGAAGGATACATTCAACGAAGTAAAAGCCCAGGTTCTTTGTTCGTGGCAAAGTTCGGAACGAAAGTGGCGCGAGTGTAGGCGCAAGCGTACTGCCTCGCTTTGTGCATGATAGATTAACTTTTCCCCTTTTGCCGGATTAGCGCGCCGCCGAGGAAATACTAAAAGCATGCTAAGTGTAGAAGCTTTTTTTTAGAGGCTTTTGACTAAGATCACGTAGTGGGTATTCTGTGGCAAGGTTTGCCGAGACGGCGCTGGGGGCGGCGGCACTCGTGGCTCCCGGCATGGAAGAGCCGACCAACACCGCTTCCGGTAGCAACGAGGACGAGGACGAGACCCCCCTTGATCCTGTTGTGGTCATCTCGAACGATAAGAGCACCGAGTTCTTTTTGGCCACTGTCGTCGAGGAAGCAGCGTAAGAATTCAATCAAATTTTAGAGGCTTTAGACTCTGGATTTTCACGTAGACACGGAATCAATCATCCGTAAAAAATTATATCTTTTTATATTTTATGTATAGTAGTAATAGTAGATCGTTCGAAGAAAAGAGCAATTTTATAAAAATAAAATTAGAAATCTATTCAAGAGACAGAGAAAATCGTGCCATTGTAAACGCTTTTCCATCCGTTCCGGTATCTCGATCGGTCACCGAGATGCGAAGATTTAAAGTTTCCCTGGTATTTAAGATGGCGGGAAGATTAGGAATGCGACCTATATTTCTTCTTGGAAATGTACACTGCTTTCAGGAATCGCGTCTGTCACTTATCTGCAGTTTGAGATAAGTCAGTGAGAAAAGTCAGTGCGAGTGAGAGACCCGAATAAACGATAAGATAGTAAACGATTAAAAATTAAGTTTTTCTTTACACGACGATATCTCGGGAACGGGAAGTTGTATCGAGACGAATAAAAAAACATTTTAAAGGAGAAGATTCCGTGCTTCTAACGATCGTTGATTCGTTAACAGAAAGTTATTGTCTTTCGAGTTATAGCGGTTTAAAGTTTTTCGAATTTTAATAGGATATAATCGGGTTTAAAATAAATAGTTGAACATCAGTTTTTCATTATACGACGATATCTCGGGAACGGGAAGTTGTATCGAGACGAATAAAAAACATTTTAAAGGAGAAGATTCCGTGCTTCTAACGATCGTTGATTCGTTAACAGAAAGTTATTATCTTCCGAGTTATAGCGGTTTAAAGTTTTCCTAATTTTAATAGAATTTAATCAAAGGAGATTAAGCTAAGTATAAATTTATTTTTGGAAAAATATCGCTTATAATGATTTTACTAATGACTTTCGCGCAATTATTTGCTTAAAATAAATTGAATCTTTGTTTAATTATATTCGGGTTTAATCATATCGATTAATCAAGCGGACTTGTAACTGCACACTCCTATATTTATGTCACTTATATAAAAGATGTGATATGAGAAAAATGTATTCGCATGAAAATCCAGCAGTCTATGTATCTCTTTATTCCTCTTTCTCTCTCTCTCTTTGTCTTAAGACGAACGTTTGCGTAATTCCTCCTATTTCTTTTCCTTCTTTCTCTCTCTCTCTCTCTCTCTCTTCTTTTTTATATAATCCTTCGTACCTAATTTCCTCTTCCTCACCCGAGAATTTCTAATTAATGAATTTCGCCGCGTGATAAGTCCAAGCAAAAACGTATAACAAGGGTTAGAACGAAGTTAAAAATGTTCTTGGCAGAGGGTAAAAAGAACGGACCTATGTGGACTCGTTTTTCTGGCCGAATGAGGAGAGCGGAGGAGGCGTTGAAACTTTGCCGGGCAAATTAACGAGAGTGGGGAAAAAAAAAAAAAAAAAAAAAAAAGGAAACGAAACAATAACGGGCAAGGACAAAGGGGTGGATGGAATCAATTAGCATTGAGAACGGGCGGCGTAACATTGGACGAGAAAAAAGGAGGGAGGGGGAAAGGAAATACTATTTTCCCGTTCATCAGGAGGAAATGAATTTTCGGTTAAGAGTTTGGAAGGAGCGGGCTTGAGTCGATCTAAAGTTCCATCTTAATTGGTTAGATCCGCGAATTAAGATAGCATCGGTTCTTATTTGCCGGTGTTTTATGCCGAAACGCCGTCTTCCTTTCAAAATTCCCCGGGTCACCGACTAATTGCCCCTTTATCTTCCATTGAACGAGATAGGGAGATCTCGGGAGGGAGGGCGTTAAACTTACGAAACGAGAGATGGAAAATTGGAATCGTATATATCTCCCTGCGTAAAATTGGACGAAAGGAAGGGTTGAATCTTTTTTTCCTTTTATATATATATATATATATATATCGGCCACGGAGTCGATAATTCATTGGCGTAAAGAATTACTGCGCCGACACATTCGATAAAAATAGGAAGAAAACACCGATAAACTCGGTCCACTGTGAAATCGATTCGTTTGTTTGTGGAACGTCCACTGGTCCAGCAAGTTGGAGTAGTAACCAGTATTGATTGAACGCGGAAGACACGTCGCCTCGATCGATAGCTTAACGATAACAAAACGTAAAAGTGAGGTAAAAAGGAAAAAGTTATATAGTTCATGTTCCGCGTGCACAATCGAATAGGTACAACGAATCGGAAGGAGGGATCGTAAACGATTCGATTTCTTTGGTTGGCTGCGTTAAACGACGCAATATGGGTCTATTTTTGATTTTAATTCTTGTATTAATATTTCGATCTTACGTCAAAGTGTACGAATTAACAGTTAATCGGTGATACGTGTAATTTCCATTATAATCCATTTGTATCCAATAACGTAGACACTTTGAAGAATTGAAAAATTTGAAGGTATAGAAGTTTTAATCAATTCTCACTTTTGTGAGATTTCTTTCTCGATTATTCCACGATCTAAAATAACAGAATCTAAAATTCGATAAAATATAATCAAATGTTCGAGTATTGCATTCCATTTATTGAATAAATTGACGCGAAAAGAGTCAATGGAAACCCGTGTAACGCGATGATAATACATCGGCTAATCGTAGGATCGATACGGATAGCGCGTGGGAATGGTGGTGGTCCACGCAGCGAGATGTCTTTGAGACTAATCGCCGAGAGCGGTTCCATCGACGGTGCAAGCAAGTTTAATTACATGGACAGGTTTGTTGTTGGCCGTACACGGCCAATGGATGGGGCGCGTTAATGCACGCGGTAGCTCATTGTTCGATAGGTTTCGAATGAAACGCCGCGTGTGCGTCGTTTCGTTGCGGGAAGTAATTTCTCGCGAATTCGTTACAGTTACACGACGAGACTCGCCTCGAAGCAGTGCACAACTCCGCTATGCTTTACACCAGTGGGGTTCTTACCCACTCGAGCGGTCAAACCAATATTAAATTTCGATTTCACTACAAGTTTCTGTTTCAATTTTCGTTATCCAATTTATACTCGGATCTCGATCGATCCGAATAGTAAGAGCTCTCTCTCTCTCGTACACAAAGCGAAAATACTAAATTCGAGTACACCAAACAATCTCCATTGCTAGTCACGATGCGAGTAATGGAGGCGAATTTGCTTGCGAGGCAAGTTTCATCGAGTAGAATCCATTCCTATTCCCCAGCGGAACAAAAATATAATAATATAAAATGTACCATTGTTCCCTCTATCCTTCCCTCGCTTCTCCTCGCTCTTTTCTAATCGAAGCAATGATGCAAACACATCAAAATTAATTAATTATCAATCGTGAATCCGTATCGACACATTGAATTTCTCGTGGACGACTTAATACAAATAACAAGAAGCTCTCCAGAGTGCATACGATACATTAGCGAGACGCGTGCGCTACTGATACTCGAATTGCAGTTGTCGTTTCAGCGCAGTGGCTCAAGCTCAACTGGGCGGAGCGCAGAGAAAGGATGCCGGATACGAGGGTGCGGCGAGCACCGCGGTGATTCACGAACCCGTGCTGGAAACGAATTCGAGCCCGAGCCCTAACCCACGGATCGCCTCGTCTGCCCCGTCGTCCTCGACCTCGTCCTCGCCGCCGGCCAAGGCCGCGAGCCAAGCCTCGCAAGCGTCGAGGAAGAACGGCGGCGAAACGAACAAGCAGGAGTTGAAGAGGCTCAAGAGCACCGTCTCCCTTCTCCCCCTGCCGCTTGGGCGCACGCCAAGCGTGATGTCCGCTTCGTCCACCTGCAAGAAGGACAAGAAAAATGCCGGCTCCGGATCGCGGTTCACCATATACAAGGCGAACAAGGCGAGCAAGAAGAAACGGGAGAAAAGCTCGGCGAAGAAGGAGCGAAAGGCTACGAAAACGCTGGCCATTGTTCTTGGTATGTTCCTCGAGTCTTTCAACGAGTCGAGAATAGAAAGTTGAGATGATTTCGTATTTTCTTTTTTTTTTTTTCTAATTTTATGTGTTGGTGTTGGCTTGTTTTTTAATTCCTTAATTCCATGG